TGCCGGCCGAAGACCCTCCGACCGTCAAGTCAGAAAAACTTTTCAAGAATTTTAGGAATACTAGACCAAAACAGAGAAGAAATAATTCAGAGCAAAGTAGTACTTGTTTTTCTGTGTACCTGAACGTAAGACTGACCACGAATTTTATAGTAGTGAGATAACCATCTGGGCGGGATTGACGAGGGTTCGGCGAGATTTGTTGGTTGGTACTGATAAGATCTATTCAGTTAAGATTCCCAACTTGCTTTCAGATAACTTCTATTTGATCTGATCAAATCGTAATGTAATTTATCTTGGAGATAAATTATGAAGGATTTGCGAATTGACATGTGGGTCTTATTTGGCCCGATCGACATAACGAATTGGGACAAAAGATATTGCGTTCATCAAGTAGGCTATCTTTGGGCTTTATTTTTTGGACTTGGGCCGTTTGGGCTTGTGGAACGATTTTTACCACTAAAATGATCTATAAAATTTTTGATTTGAGGCCAATTAAGTACAAAATTGTGACTTTAATATATTTGATTAATAAAATATATTTTAATTAATTAATAAATAAAATTTAATGATATATGATTTTAGAAATTTTAAAATTTGTTTCATAATTTTGAAATGAGTATAGCTAACATCTTAGATATGAAATTTTTCCAATTAATTATTGGGTCATAACCTACACTTATAATGGGCCGATTTTTAGAAGATTATTTGTTGGGCACATATGTGTGTGTGCCAATTAATTCTTGGATATATGTATTTAATATTTTGGCATTTATTTTATATCTTTGTTTAATTTTTGCATATGTTAATTGTTTATGTTTAGAGTAATTTATGCAATTTTAGGATTAATTAAATTGTGAAAAGTTACTTATTATGCTCATATTTAGTTTGCATAAGTTAATTATGTTTTAAATTAATACTTGCAATTTAAATAACCTAATATCCAAACTAGCAATAATGGATCAAGCTAGAATGTATGTTGAAAATACCCTTGTCCATTATCTCTTCTTATGTTCAAAGAACCATCTCCTTTTATGTACAAAGACTACCTATTTATATATTTATAGTCGACGTGGTGACCGTTAGATCGGAACCGCGTAGCCTCATCCTCTTGACCGAAACCACATCACTAAATCTATCATACATTAAATACATTGACCATGGATTAGTCGCCCTATATAATAAGACTGACACATGTGACATTCTTTATTACAGATATCACATCAATCATTTCTAAAAATTGTTTGCAAATCTTGCAAGAGACGACTTCAGTTTTAGGGACCTCGGATGAATTAAGGACTTCGACTTGAGAGGGCTTTGAGTTGGTGGTCTTTGGTGTGAAGAGCCTTGGCATAATAGGAGTTTTGGCATACAACTTCAACCATTAAGCATAGTTTCGGCAGGAGGGTCCTCGAGCGAGAATTCAACTTGACGTGTCTGTATCCTAGTTTCAGAAAATCACGTGTTCCCTTATCTTTTCCGTATCGTGTCGTGTCCTTATCCCTGGCTTGAATTTGATAGTACCTCTTTTAGTTGTTTCATGTAATTTAATTGGTTCTCAATATTAATCTAGAGAATAAGCGGTAATTTTCCTTTTCTTAACCACTAGTTTTAAAATCCCGATCCACCAGTAGAATAATTTCTTCACTTTAGGCATTTTTGAACAGCGACTTTGGCATCTCGGTCTCAACCATCGGCCAAATCCTTCTCCTTCCATAACCTCATCCTTTTGGGTAAGTTTTGGTTACACCCTATTGGATCAGGGGAATATATTGGTAGAAATAAGATTAGGGAATTGCATTGAAGTGGATTACGAATATTGTTCTAATACAAAATTTGGTGTTACATCGTATTAAAAGACCATATAAGTAATAAAAAAATTTATGATTATTTTTACTTATAAGAAATATTTTAAACTTATTAAGTGATTTTCTCTACTTGTAATGTACTTATTAGGAAATATTTTTACTGAGAAGTAAATTTTGTACTTAAAAAGTATTTTTTTACAAATAATTGAAGTTTATACTTAAGTAATTTTTTACTTATACATACATTTTTTAGTTATTATTGAATTTTATTCTTATAAATAATTTTAACATATAAATGAGTTTTTAAAATAGAATTTTTTGCTTATAAGTGAATTTTATCTTACAAGTGAAATTTTTAGTTATAACTAACGTTTTTTTAATTATATGGATTTTTCACATACAAGTGAATTTTTGTCTTATAAGTAGTTTTTTTTTATTTAAAATAATTTTTTTTAACATAAAAATGAATTATTGTCTTACAAATAATTTTTTAATTATAACTTAAGTAAATTTTTTAGTTATAAAATTTTTTTTATTTATTAGTTTATTTTTTAGGTATGAATAATATTTTTTACTTATATGCAATTTTTTAACATAAAAATTTATCATTGTTTTATAAATTATTTTCTATTTACAAGTAATTTTTTTAGTTAAAAGTAAACATTTTACTTATACTGTAAATGAATTTTTTCACTTATAATTAAACTTTTTCTTTAGTCCACACCCCAAATCGGTGATCAATTGCATTATTCACAAATTTTCATGTGATATTTCAACATTTCCACTCGATTGAATATAGAATTAACTGTGATAGTGCGACCAAGTCAATCGCTGTTATCGTAGACCTTGGTTGGTATAATTTGAATATAAGTAACACACTTCCCTTAGAATATTTGGCTATAGCGAAATTGTAATGTGCAAAGGAAATGGATTAACCATTTTCCACTCTCCAACTCATAATTAGTCTTCCACTAACTGAAAAAGAAGTGGAAAAATTACAGATAAAATGGGATGACTTTGAGGATCGAAAAGTTTGATCATGACTCGAATAATGCTATTTATCATCGTGATGATAAATCATCGATAATGTGACAGTTTATGTGGAATAACGAAATTGGAAAGTTTTATTCACATGAGATAGAGAGATATGTAAGAGATAATGTGTTACACTACAAAATGAATTAAGATTGTGAAATAATTATATGAAAATTACTTTTTCCCTACACTCATACGTTTTTTTTAAAAAATATTTTTAATTTTTTTCTATAAATTTTTCCTATTTTTTAACCACTCAATCTAAAAAATAAAAAATAAAATCATTTAAAAAAATTCCCACGCAAGCACTAAGAGCCTGTTTGTTTCCAATTAAAATTGAAAATATAGTCGTTATAGGTCTCACTCGTCTAATAAAAGTCAACAATAACGATAAATTTTTCAATTTTAATTCGATTTTAATATCTATCGAACACGCCCTACGTATGAATTTATTCAATCCCCTTTCAAATTGTTTCAATACACGTTTCTGCTTTCTCTGATTATCGAATTTCAGAATAAACATTAATATATGTGTACCATACACCTAAAAGAGTTGACTTGAGTGCTTGACTGGAGAGCCATACAAGTCAACGTACCGCGCCTGTTAAATTGAGAGCTTGTTTGGGAGAGATTTTTCCCCCTTCTTAACTAAAACTTATCAATATACTACCCTTTACACACCAACTTTTTCTTCTTTTTTAATAACTACACTACCTTTTATAATAATTATTGAAAAATGTGTGGTTGAAAATTAGAATTGATTTACTGTAGAAAAATTTAATCCCTCTCAAACAGGGCCTGAATGTTGCAGCACTAATAATAGCACTATCTTAAAGTTTTACTTGATTTGATTAGCACTACATCTTCTTAATCAATTGTAATTGTTGACTATCCAAGTTCCGAGCAATTGGAAGCCGCTTTCGATGACGACGAGGTCTTAGCCCACCTTGCTTTCTTTGGTGCACAAGGGAATACGAGAAGTCAAGGGATATACGCACGCTGCGAGGAAAAATGTGGCGTCTGCTCCATTCCGAGTGACGAATACGAGTTCAACGAATCCCAATTATTTGGTTTACCATCGTGGTCCTCCACTTGAAAATCTTCTATATATTAAAAGTGGCTATGTAACGGAATTTCTTGTTTTTAATGGAAAAACTAACGGAATTTATTGTTTTAACGGACTATGTAACGGAATTTCTTTTTTTAAACATGCAGCTGCACATTCAATTTGTTATAAGTTGAATGAATGAATGAATATATCTTCTATATATTAAAAGTGGCTATGTAACGGAATTTTTTGTTTTTAACGGAAAAACTAACGGAATTTGTTGTTTTAACGGACTATATAACTGAATTTCTTGTTTTAAACAGGCAGTTGCACCTTCTTTCAATGTTTTTATCATAACTTTGTATTCCGATATCCGATTGAGGCGAATCAAAATGCGTTGGAAAGCTAACTCATCTGGCTACAACTTTGATTCAGACATCATTCTCCAATTCGATCACTTTCAATGCCAAAAATAGGTCTCAATCTGAGACTAAAACATCGGAGCATAACTTTTCGGTTGGAAATTGATTTGTGATCATCTTTTGACTAAATTTAAATTTGATTCCATTGACGTCTTCCTTTACCCAATTGACTCCGAGCACTGTCAAATCTTCATCGTGAGGTTCGGCACAACTTTTAAGTATTTACATTTTAGTCCCCGAACTTTGGATCCCTTACAATTTAACAATTTCTCCAAATTTGTCAACCTTTGCTTATTTTCTTCGATCTCACCAACTTACATCACAACATCAAAATCACACATCTAATTATTTATCAATTACATAAACATTACATCATTAATTATTTAATTAACCAAAAAAATTACATCTTTATTAATAACAAATTAATTCTTAAACAAAACTATTNGGGGGGGCTGGGGCCCCCAAATTTTTTTTTTTTTTCGTATTAGACCCCCCTTACCTCGATCCTGGATCCGTCCCTGTTTATTAATAACAAATTAATTCTTAAATAAAACTATTAAATATAAACTAGGCAAACGTACATTGCACGTTGCTTGCACCTAGTATATAAATGATGATGCTTGAGCCTGAAAAAATAAACACAAAAACAAAAACGTCTATCTTCTTCGATCAAATCTGATGTCAGAAAAAATGGAGCTTAAACGATTCATCAAACTACTGACTTTACTTCTGTTTGTACTTTCTCTGTGCATGAATCCAACTTCTGGAGTTGGGGGTGCTGCTCAAGTTAGGTGCATAGAGAGGGAGAGACAAGCTCTTCTCCAGTTTAAGCAAGGCCTTATAACATCCGACTTGGAAACTCTCTCATCCTGGGGAAGTGAAGAAGCTAAAAAGGAATGCTGCGAATGGGAGGGTGTCATTTGTAGCGACAGAATTGATCGCGTAAACCGGCTCGAACTGAGTGGTCTGCAATTGAGAGGTAATATCAGTCGTGCTTTGCTTGACTTGCCGCATTTGAATTATCTTGACCTTAGTGAAAATGATTTCGGAAGAAGTCAAATACCAAACTTCATTGGTTCTCTCAAGAATTTAAGGCAATTGACACTTCGGAACTCAAACTTCACTGGCGAAGTTCCATATGAACTTGGTAACCTCACCAACTTGCTGACTCTTGAACTTGAAGACAATGTAGGTCTGACAATCAAGAACCTTGAGTGGATTTCTCGTCTTTCTTCATTATCATATCTTGATTTGAGTTCTATTATCCTTAATGAAACCAAATGGCTGCATGAAATTACAAAGCTCCCTTCCTTGAAGAGTCTGTTCTTGTCAAATTGTCAACTACCCAATACTTTGCCTGCCATTGATTTCTTCGCTAATTCGTCTATGCCTTCTCTTGATGTCCTCGTTCTATCCATCAATAGCCTCACTTCCAATTTCACATTCCAATGGTTGTTTAACTTTACTAAAAGTGCTTTTAGCATAGACCTCTCTAATAATCAATTAGATGGTCCTATTCCCGACACCTTTGGGGAACTGATATTTCTTCAGGACCTCCGCTTGCAAGAGAATATGTTCCATGGTGGGATCCCAAAGTTTACGGTGAATTTTATTCATTTGAGGTCAATAAATATATCCCACAATAATTTAAACCAACCTCTTGTCGAGTTATTCCAAAACTTATCTGAGATTACTTCACTTGAAAATTTGGATTTATCGTACAATCAACTTAACGGTGCGTTGCCAGACATCACCAGATTTTCATCCTTAAAGGAGTTAAGACTTCACAACAATCAAGTAAAAGCATTTCCACCACAAACCCTTGGGAAACCTTCGAGTCTGGTACATTTGTATTTGTCCAATAATCAAATTACGGGATCATTGCCGAATTTGAGTGTCTTTTGGAATCTCCTAGGTTTATATCTCGGTTCAAATTCGTTGGAAGGGACAATCACCAATGACCACTTTGCAAACCTTACCCAGTTAAAGGACCTGGATTTATCTTTCAACAAATTGTCTTTGAACTTTTCATCGGATTGGGTTCCTCCTTTCCAAATGGAAATTGTACACCTCAGCCATTGCAAAATGGGGCCTCATTTTCCAAAATGGATTCAAACTCAGATTTTTCTTCTTGAGCTCGATATTTCATTTGCTAATATATCAGATACTATCCCTCAATGGTTATGGAAAATGCCTCGCATGATAACGTTTAATATCTCTCATAACCAAATTGGTGGTAGATTGCCTGACTTGTCTTCGAGAACTGCTCTTCGAAGAATCATAGATTTAAGCTATAATAATTTTTCGGGGCCAATTCCGTCATTTGTTTTCCATACAGTAGAAGTACGACTCTCCAAAAACATGTTATCAGGATCCATTTCTCACATATGCAGAATTTCTGGTTCTTCCTACATCAAAATCCTGGATCTATCAGATAACCACTTGTCCGGGGAGCTTCCCGACTGCTGGATGAACATAAATGACTTGCGTGTTCTCAATTTGGGAAATAATGGGTTCCACGGTAGAATTCCCTTCACTTTGGGAGCTCTAGATCAACTTCAAACATTGCACTTGCGCAACAATAGTTTGACTGGTGAATTGCCTTCCTCTTTGAAGAATTGTACGAAGTTGAGAATGATTGATTTGGGAGAAAACAATCTGACGGGAAATATTCCTCCGTGGATAGGAACATATCTAACAAGTTTGACAATTGTTAGCCTTCGATTTAATAAATATCATGGAAGCATACCTCCAACAATTTGCCATCTCACCAATATTCAAATCTTGGACCTTTCTAGGAACAACATATCTGGCAAAATTCCTCCATGTTTAAACAATTTTACTTCTTTGGCTCAAAGGAATGGTTCAACTGAAAGCACTGAAGTTATGGTTCCTGATGATCAAGTCTTTCCGTGTGCTTTTAATCTCCATTGGTACTTCGATGATATTTTGGTTCAATGGAAAGGACAAGAGTCACGAGATGGAAAAATTGGACTTGTGAAAGGCATTGACCTCTCTAGCAACAACTTAGTTGGAACTATTCCTCAAGAGTTTTCTGATTTGAGAGGTTTACTTTTCTTGAACTTGTCAAGAAACCATTTGACGGGAAATATCATTTCAGACATTGGTGAAATGGAAATGTTGGAATGGCTTGACTTGTCTAACAATCAACTTTCTGGGAATATTCCGAACAGTCTTGCAAGTCTAAATTTTCTCAGCGTTTTGGACTTATCGTACAATAATTTGAAGGGCAGGATTCCATTAGGCACTCAACTACAAAGCTTTGAAATTTCAGCATATGCTGGGAATAGCAAACTCTGTGGGCTTCCTTTGCCAAAGTGTCCTGAAGATTCTCCTGGCCCTTCTGGAACTAATAGTAGCAAGGACAACATTGAACAAGATGATGGGTTCATCACTCGAGAGTTCTATTTTTGTATGACAGTTGGTTTCATTACTGGATTCTGGGCAGTTATTGGTACTTTGTTCCTCAAGCATTCTTGGAGACATTCCTACTTCAACTTCTGGAACAAAATTGGAGATTGGATATATGTGAGAACAATATTATGCGTGAAAAGATTCAAAAGAAAATTTCTGGATTGATGGTAAGCTTCTAAATTTCCTGAATTAGTTTTCCATCATTTGGTTGTTTTATGGAGATGATTTTTTTATATTCTACCTGTGAATTCAGATTGGGATATATGTTGTTCACACCACGACTATGGTATAGGATTTATGGACATAAAAAATGCAAAAACTTTTCTTAGTTTGTTAATATCCAAAAGTTTACTCAAATCAGGTTCTCCTTCCATGAAATGCGAAAGGATTAACCGTCATACCTGTTGGAGGCCGAAGAAGTTCAACGGTTTTTGCTCTCTTTGGAATCAGTGTTGAAGTTGGTTTGTCACTTTGGCTGTCACGTTTTTGCTGTCAAAAATGTTGCTGATTTTTGTATCTAAAGTCGTGTGATTTAAGTACAAATAGTTGGTAGTTTAACTTTTGTAAGTTTATCTAAGTATGGTCTTATATTTTTGTTGACAACTTGATAGATTGGAGTATGTAGAAAGTGTTGACAACCAAGTGTTTTTGTAAGCATATATTCAGCAAGAAACAAAGCTAATGTGTGCCATTCTTTTCTCTTCATTTTTGCTCTTCAAAATAGAGCATTTAACCATTTACAAAAACCGGTAAGTTAGTGCCAAATACCGTGAGTAGTGAAGAAACCGGTATGCATTGTGCAAATCCGGTAAGTTCAACTCGGTGGTTTTTCTTTTCATTCTCTTTGAATCAATAATCTTTCAATCAGACCGTGAATGATGATGTTTTCCACTGTGACGTGAATTTTTATTTTGTTAATATTCGTAAAAATAAAACCAACTTGTGAGATATGAAAAGACAAAAAAAATAATATGCTATGTTGTGACATTAAATTTTAAAAACCTTGTGCCTTTCACATTTAGAAACTAATTTGTTATGAAATTTATACTTTATCAATCAATGGTAGTGACAAACAACTAGTACACTGGAAACTCCAGCAGCAGCTTCATCAACTGCTTATGATAACACTTCCAATCTCTCTTTTCTCGTTGCAGCAGACCTAGCTCGACTCGTTTCGTTTGTATGTGACACAGGTTTGTGCTTAATCAACTTAAAGAAAAAGCTTATCATAGTGCTAATAAATATTACTGAGGTAGATGCTGACAGAATGAAGAGAGAGATTTTTTAATAATCGGGAACGTGAAGAAGATTCATACAATCATTTTGTATCAACACAAGAAAACCCAGAAATAAGAACGAGAATCCAAGAACAATTACAGATAAATAAATGCACTATCAATTGAGACTACACTAGACCTTCATTATCTCTCTTGGACAGAAAATTAATGAGATTTATAAATTCTTCAGATGCTGGGAATTTTGAAAAGGATTAATAGTTTATGTAATTTGGGACATATATGTAGCACAACCATAGTTTATGGAGATGTTTAATGCATTTTGCTGTTTGCAGGTGAGGCCATATAAGACTTTCTCACAATTGAAATCCGACCTTTCCAATTTTCTTGACCTTATCAGATAAATGTAAAAAGAGCATTTAATTTTAATTTCACAACAGAGTGAATTATTTATATCTGTTCATAACTCCGAAATTTATTTTATTTATACCAACTTTACAAAACAGTGGTTTATTAAAGGAGAAAACAACATAATCCACGACCTGATTCCAAGGGGAGCAGTCTCTCATGCGACTCTTCAGCCAGCAAATGGACCTAAATGACTTGAATTAATTTTTTGTTTAGGGACCTAAATGGTCCAAAGATAAAAGTGTTATATAAAATAATGGAGAATCAAAGTA